CGTAATCAAGAGGTTCCCGATTCATATCTCGGCGCAGAGACCGGATGTTCTTGGAATAAAATCAAACAAGTGCTACGGATAAAATGCTACACTGCACGATTGAAATTACATCCACGTCTACATTACGAAGTAAAAGGCGTATTGAATTCCGTGAATGCTTACAACCATCTCAACAGAATCGGAAGATTACAGCACAGAATTAAACAGTTACGCAGTTTTATGCAGACAGACAACGGCCAACATCGAAAAATTTACCTGTTTTCCTATGGGCATGAACCTTATTCTCTCAACTCTAGGTACAAGAACACGGACCGAGGGTGACTGGTAATGTGGGATGGGATGGGATGGGTAATGCTTGTAGCAGGCATTACGGTGGTGATAATTCTATACGTTTTAATGTACAACTTCGGCTTTCAGGTAAAATCCGCGTCGAATTTACACAATCATAAAAAGTTTATGCGAACGCTACAGTTGTCATTCACCCTGAAGATGGCAACTGCAATGTTTGTCGAAACGATGGATAAGATTCAACATCCCCGAATGCCGAAGTTTTAAGATGAACTCCAGCTGAGAAAACCTAAGGACGTCTACCGTTTCCGTTGCAAAACCTGAGGGGAAAAGACGCACTGGAAGACCTAAGCGTAGATGGATGGATAAAGCTGGCAAATGACTTTCGTGGCAAACGTACTACGATAGTCAGGCGCTTTATTTGTTGACTTTGCGTCCAAAAGTTCGAGTAATCGTCTCTGTGAGCTAAAAGAATACAATTACTATTTACGTGCGTCTATTTCCACGGCGAAACCTCATAATTTCTATAGATGACAGCAAAGATTTCTTTAAACACACTCCGGCCAACTGCACATACAAAGACCTATAACAATTTTCTTCACGAGATACGCATTTTTACCATTTAAAATGTCAATAAACTACAGTAAACAAGAATCAGTCGTAATCTACACTACGGGAACCAACCAGACAAAGAATGACAGATTTCGGAACCCGGGAAGTCCAGAGGCAAATCAGAACTGCATATTCCCACAGAGGGCGAATCACCAGTTCGCGATCATATCGAGCATTCAAATTTTATCGAATCGGTTCGGTCACGTGGCGTTTGGAGGCCGACCTGGGCACGTCCGGGCAGAAGAAACAGCTGTTTTCTAAATCTGACAACACTACCGACGACTCAGATTAATATAAAATCTGGATCATGTTCAGGTTCTCAAGGCGACGGGGATGGTAATGACGACTCTTCTGGGAATCTGTAGAATCTGACCGACGTTTCGGAGATGCTTCCTGCCTCAGTCGTCAAGACGACTGATTAGTGACATGTCAAGGAGTGATTTTTGGTGTCCGTACAACATCCTGTATAAAACGTAGTGCCTGAATCGAGCATTATTAACACAGACAGCAATATCGCCATCTGAAACCCACTGATACGTGAAAACTGCACCAAAAAGGTAATTACGAGACCAGCCACCGCAGAATCCGTTGTGCAGGACGACGTTCACACTCCACAAGTCACGCGTATGCGGACTGCACGGGCGCGTAAATAAAGGCAGAGTGAGGATACGTAGCCGGCATTCTCCCAGCGCTAAACTTTCACATCCTGGAAACCCTTTGTTATAAGGACCCTCCCACTTCCAACGTCCGGGTAAGGGGAGGATTCTTGTTACGTATCCATGAGACTACTCCATTACACACACACGCGCACCCTCACAATAATAGTTCTCGATGTCGATCTTCTGGGTAGTAACGCTGTGTGGAAACCGACGTTTCGGAGGAACAAACTGCCTCCACATTCACCTCTGATGAAGTACTTTTCAGGTTCTCACGGCAGCGAGAGTGAAGACGTAATCTACAATACTGAACAAGTTGACCGACGTTTCAGAAGTGCTTACTGTCTCCATAATCAGGGAGATATTGCTGATGAAGGCAGTAAGCACCTCTGAAATTCTATCAGAAAAAACGATGCAACATCCCAGAAGACGGTTATCGGCAGACAGGA